ACAACGTGACAAAAATATAAACTCAGACAGGCGTGAATCGTGACATAAACAGAATTTCTAGGCGCAGCCAAGGTGTTGAGGGGATCCGTTCTGGTGGCCTTAGGATCGCGTCTCTGCTTTTTGCAGATGATGTGGTCCTATTGGCTTCATCAGGTCGTGATCTACAGCTTTTACTGGAGCGGTTCGCAGCAGTGTAGCGACCGGGAGGAGGATCAGTGCCTCCAAATCCGAGGCCATAGTCTTGAACTGGAAAAATGTAGATTGCCTTCTCTGGGTCGGGGAGGAGGTCCTTGCCCAAGTGAGGAGTTTACGTATCTCAGGGTCTTGCTCATGAATGATGGAAAAATGGAGTGAGAGATCGATAGGCAGATAGGTGCAGCGTCTGCAGTGTATCGGTCTGTCGTGGTGAAGAGAGAGCCAGTCAAAAGGCAAATCTCTCAATTTACCGGTCCATCTACGTTCCTACCCTCATCTATGGTTAGGATGCCTCCTGGACGCCTCCCTGGTGAGGTGTTCCGGACACGTTCCATCGGGAGGAGACCCAGAGAAAGACCCAGGACACACTGGAGGGACTATGTTTCTCAGCTGGCCTGGGAATGCCTTGGGATTCCTCCGGAGGAGCTGGCCCAAGTGGATGGGGGGAGGGATGTCTGGGCCTCCCTATTTAAGCTGCTACCCCCGTGACCCGACCCCGGATTCAATTCAGTTCAGTTTATTTATATAGCACCAAGTTACAACAGAAGTCATCTCAGGGCACTGATAAGCAGAAGAAAATGGATAGCTGGATGGATGGTTTATTTACAAAATCAAAAAGGCTACCAAGGCAGCAAAACTTACATGTGACATCTTGGAACACACAGGGAGCAGACAAGTCATCGCCAGGAAACATTGTTATTGCCGGGATAACAAGGAAGACAAACACACAGGGTTAAATACAGACATAATCAAGGAGACAAATGAAATGTACTTATCTAGCGCTTTTCTATCAAGAAACTCAAAGTGCTTTACACTACAATCTGTGCCCTCATTTACCCATTCATACAGCACTCTACTAGATCTATACAAAGAATAATCAGAGCTTTATCACATTCATACACTGATGGGACACACATTGGAGGCAATGAGGGGTTCAGTGTCTTGCCCAGGGACACTTCACCATGTGACTACTGTTGGAATTGAATCCCAAACTCTTGCATTGGAGGACAACTGCTCTAATCACTCAGCCACTGCCACTCAGGTGCCAACACCTGTGAGCATCACAGGTGCAGGGAGACAAAGAGTGAATGATAGCAGGGCAGGAACACATCAGAAACGCAACACAAGATGGGGCCAGACACCAAGAAACAAAAACCCTATAGTTAAGGGAGTTTTTCCTTTCCACTGTCTCCTTTGTTTTTGCTCAGGATGGGAGACTGTGACGAAGTGAAGATTCAACACAATCTGCTGCTTCCTTAGATAGAGAACTTTTACTAATTGACTTTTTTTATGTATGTGAATGTTTTTGTTCAGTGCTCTGAGTCAACTTCTGTTGTTACTTGGAGCTACAGAAATAAACTGAAATGAATTGTGTGAATATTGTCTAAATCATTGTGTAAATGATCTGAAATGTAAATAAAATCCAAAATTTAAATACAAAAATCATTAAATTTCATATATAAACCTTAGAAAAACTGTGAGAACATTTCAAGAAAACTTTTAGATTAAAAAGCCATAAAACAACCCTTATATTAACAACAAAGTCCATGCTCAATAATCAATCCTTATATTATTTGCCAGATTCTGCTTTTGTTCTGTCAGAACAATGACTTCAGTGGTTCTGATGGAATGTTTCTCTTTCTGTCAGAGATGGTGGTTCTGCTCCAGATGAAGATCTTCTGCTCAGGAAGCTTCTGGAGGCTGAGGTTGATGGAGCTGCAGCAGCTCAGGAAGTGTCGGCTCTGAGAGAATCTGTTGACAAACTGTTTGGTTCTGATCCAAAGGTGAGTCTGAACTCAGGTTCCTGTTTTTATTTGACCTGATGAGGGAACATTGACAACAGAACCACAAACTCTTTGGATCACCAGCCATCTGCTCCTCTCTCTGTGTTCTGGGTAAAGAAGCTGTCAGGTTCTGTCTCTTCGGTTCTGGTCCATCAGAAGGAGCTGCTGCTGCAGAAACTGAAGACCTTTGAAGCCACAAACCGGACCCTAAGGCACCTCCTCAGGGAGCAGCTGGAGTCTGAGGTAAGGAGCCACCCACTGCACTGCTGCCAGTAGAGCCTCCTGGACCTTCATGCTGTGGTTTGGTTCTGAGCAGATGGAGTCCAAACGGCTGTCGGAGCAGAAGAACCAGTTATTGACGAAGCTCACCAACACAGAAGCAGAAAACGCTGTGAGTTTAACCAAAACTATAAAATATAATCAGTTTGTTCAACACTGATCATGATTGTATTCTCTGCACAAAAATATAAAACAAAACCCAGCCCTGTTCAGATCTCAGCTGCAGAAACAGATGCCCGAACCGCCTCAACTGACTCCTCTCGATGTGGAGGAGCAGCGGCTCTACTGTGAGTCTCTTCTGATAACTGAACTTCTCACCCTGTCTCTAAGGGTGCGTTCACACCAGCCCTGTTTAGTCCGCTTTAATCCAACTCTAGCTCGTTTTCCTAGAAAGTCCAGTTCGTTTAGGGAGGTGTGAACACGCCATCGCACTCTGTCACGGAACAAAAAGGCGAACTCTGGCCCGGGCTAAAACCTAGGTCTCGGTCCGGTAGAAGCGAACTCCAGCGCGGTTCGAGTGCAGTGTGAATGTAAACAGACCGAGCCCCGCTCCACAGGGTAAACAAACACACATTTCTCTGACCTTATATGGAGCCATCAGCTGCCTTGTGTGAAAACCAGCATGAGCAGAAGATGAGACAGAAGACCATGGAGAATATTGTTTTTCACACAAGTCCATTGTTGAAAAATGACAAAATATAACTCCTAAAACTGCTAAAACTTGATGCCACTTCGTTTTTATTTTTATTTACAGAAGAAGACGTGTCTTCAGAGGCTTTTGTGTTGTTTCTTTCAGTAGTTCTTGGTGCAGCGCCCCCACAGGCGAGTGGGGGAACAGGTTGCTTCAACAGGTTGACTCGACTGCACAGTGCAGTGTGAATGCAAACGCACCAGCTCAAATATAACAAAAGGTCATGAATATTGGCCCCGAACCGAGTCTACCGGACTATCAGGTGTGAAAACGACCTAAGGGAGAGTCCAGCTATCCTGTGGAGGAAACTCTTTTCAGTCTCCTGTATCCACAATATATCTGATTCTTTTGGTCACTACCCAGAGCTTGTGACCAAAGATGAGGGTAGGAACGTAGATTGACTGGTAAACAGAGAGCTTTGCCTTGCAGCTCAGCTCCATCTTCACCAAAACGGACGGGCACAGAGTCCGCAATACTGCAAACGTTGCACCAGTCCATCTGTCAATCTCACGCTCCGTTCTTCCCTCACTTATGAACAAAACCCCGAGATACTTGAACTCCTCCACTTGAGGCAGAACTTCACCCTCGACCTGAAGAGAACAATCCACCTTTTTCCGGTTGAGGACCATGGCCTCAGATTTGGAGGTGCAGATTCTCATCCCAGCTGCTTCACACTCGGCTGCGAACCGCTCCAGTGAGAGCTGAAGGTCACGTCACGATGATGCCAAAAGGACTATATCATCTGCAAAGAGCAGAGATGGAATCCTGAGGCCACCCTCTGCCCCCTGGCTGCACCGAGAAATTCTGTCCATAAAAGTTATGAACAGAATCAGTGAGAACGGGCAGCCCTGGTGGAGTCCAGCTCCCACCCTGAAGGGGTCCAACTTACTACTGCCAAAGCAACCAAACTCTCGCCTCCAATCCCATACTCATGGAGCACCCTCACAGTGTGCCTCGAGGAACACGCCCTCTGGACATCCTGCTCCAAGTCCACAAAACACATGGAGACTGGATTTGCCTCCGTTAGGACTCCTTCTTCAGCTCAATGGCCTGCCTCAAGTAGCTCCAAGTTAAAAATGACTAAATGTTTATAAAATGACTAAATGTCTAAACATTTAGTCATTTTTGTGTTTTGTGTAAAATCTGATTCGTTCTTGACACGTTTAAAATTCGTTCTTGTGTTTGACATGTGATTTTAACCTGTTTTTTCTTTCAGCATCTTCTGGTGAAACTTGAACAGAAAGACAAAGAGGTTGATGATCTCTGCAAATGTCTACACTCTGAGAAGGTAGGTAAATATTTTCACTTTGCATCGCTGTCAGGGATGAATTTCAACCAGTAACTGTAATATTTTAAACTTCAGGAAGACGCTCAGAGCTCGGCTGTCCTGTCCAAGAGCCTGGAGTCCAGCAGAGCTTACCTGCAGGGACAGCTTCGCAGCAGAGAGGCTGAGAACAACCGGCTCAGAGTCCAGATCAAGGTTTGTCTGCACCTCTGTCTGTGGGATCTGCTGCTGCAGCTCTGGAAGTCACCATTTTTTCCTTCTGATTGCTTCAGAACCTGGAGCGAGCAGCCGACAAGCAGAAAGCAAAGCTGGAGCACCTGATGGAGCAGCTGAAGAAGCTGAAACAGGAAGCTGTGAGTGACAGAGAGGCTCTGAAACAAGCCACTCGGGCCCAGAAACACAGAGCCGAGCGCAGTGAGGACGCCGCAGGCCAGCTGAGCACCCAGCTGCTGGACATGGTACACGTCGTCTCTGGGTTCTGTCCAGCACTGGATGTCTGGAGGCTCTGACACTAAATAATCCAGCTGTGATTGTGTTGGACAGGAGAGGCAGGTGGCTGAAGCTCTGACAGCAGCTGAAGCCTGGCAGAGTCGATACACTGATGAGGAACAAGAGAAAACCGAGCTGGAGCTCCAGGTGTCTGTGATGAGCAGGTAATGCCACTGAGCCACCTGTTCAACCAGGTGTCTGTGTTCCTGGACTGAAGGAGGAGTCAGTAAACCCTCGTTTAGTCCAGCTGCCTCACATGGGAACAGGTCCAGTTCAGAAACTACAACACTGCAAACCTGGACTAAACCTTTCATCACATTTTCTAACTCTCACTTAGTTGTTTGTGAAACCTTTATTCTGTCCTTAGCCCTAAACATCTGATGGTTATTTTGAAAATTACAAGGTTTCTACATGATTTCTCTTAAAGTTCCCACTTCTAAATTAAATATAAACTCTTTAAAACTGAGAAATATTCTCACAGCTGCTGAACATGTTACATTTTAAAAAATAGAAGAAAACTAGGAAATGTTCTGCTGAAGCGCTGAAAGGGACCAATCGTAGACTTGAATTGGACCACTAGAGGTCCACTTCCTGTCCTGCCCACTGCCTCCATCTGTGACGTCGTGGAGGAGCCAAGGTGTTGTCCAGCGAGACCAACAGCTCATAGTCAACAGCAATGATATGATGACCAGCCAGCCAAACTGGATCTGTGGCACCAATTAGTCATAATCTTTTTACAATAAATTCAGAGAACTGATGTTAATTTCATTCAACAATCATGTAAAACAGCTGGATGATATATAAAATATATAGTTTATAACTAATTATCTCAGGTCAGTCAATAACAGACAATTCAGAAATGACATAAGAGGTTTTACATATAGTGTTGGAATAATTTATTTACTGTATATTAAATATTATATAACTGTTAATTGTTATTGACCTGTTGTGTCATCGACACTTGTTCGCTGCAGACCTGGAGATATTCATCTCTACTGATATATTAACTAGCGTCTTCTCAACAGGTCACGTTTGTGTGATGGAGACGTGAAAACATTAAATATTTCATATTATTTTACACAATGTAAATATGACATGAATCAGATCAACAGCAGATGGGACTGTCTAGTAACTGTCACATGACTCAGCGCACAGCTTCACTCCGTGGAGCCACGCCCACCACAGAAGATCAAATCTACCAGTCAATTCATTAAACAGGTCCATCATGATCAGCTGCACATCTGATCGAGTCACATCAAGTTCAAGACCAGACCTGAATCATGAAACGAGACACATTTTCCTTCTTCTCTTTGTTAGGAACAACCATAGAACACAGCTTTGAGACATTTTTCATTTTTATATACATTACAGAGCTTCTATACATTCTAATATTATATTCATCCAACCGTCGTCTTTACCTGCTTCTTCCTTTTTGGGTCGTGAGAGACACCTGGACAGGTCTCCAGTCCGTCACAGGGACATCTGGACAGGTCTCCAGTCCGTCACAGGGACACCTGGACAGGTCTCCAGTCCGTCACAGGGACACCTGGACAGGTCTCCAGTCCGTCACAGGGACACCTGGACAGGTCTCCAGTCCGTCACAGGGACACATAGAGATAAGAAAACCTGTGTAAGGGTTAAATTAAAAAACTGGCCCTATATTAATATTATCATTAATAATTGTTACAGTTTTTACATGACCAGCTGCTCCTGTTGACTGTTTTGCCAATATCTAAACAATGCTAAGTCCTGATGTTGGCTCTCCCTGGTTATGGCCGCTGTACCTCCAGTGAGTCACGTCACATGACCTCTGCGGCCTTTGTGGTCTTCTCTGGTACCAGTGAAGCAAGTACTGCCATAATAGAAGAAAGTAAACCATGCTGAAGTCACTGGTTGCCATGGAGATTCCCACCTTATTTTGTTGTTGCCCAGTCAGGTTTTAGGAGACGCTGGTCAGTCCTGCAGGTGCGAGAACCTGCAGAAGAAGAGCAAAGATTGGGGAACTAACAGTCTGATGATGTCATATTTGTTAACGTCTTGTTTTCTGTCAAAAGTTCATTTTTGGTGTTTTTCACCAATTCAGCTAAATAAAGGGAAACAAGTGTGTCTCAGGCTGCTGGGTTCTGAGAGACAGCTTCTACAGACATCCATTCAGGACCTGGATCAGGAGCGGGGATCTTAACTCCTGTTTTTTGTCCGGACAGCCGCATCTCCGAGCTGACGGAGCACCTGCAGAGAGCCGAGGTCAAAGGTCAGACGGACACAGAGGCTCTGCTGGATCAGCTGCAAGAACTGACTTCAGAAAACACAGCAGAAAGACTGGAGAACCAGTCTCTGAAGGTAGAACTGGACCCCTCTGTGAGGTATATAGACTGACTGTTGGACCGGTCTAACTCAGCTGGACTGGTTGCTTGTCTCAGGCCACGGTGTCCTCGGTGGAGGACAAGCTGTCCATGTGTCAGTCTGAGCTCCAGCAGGTCCGATGTTCCATCAGACAGTATGAGGACCTGCTGGATAGCTACAAGCTGCAGGTACGTCATCTTCAACCTGATCTTTATATCCTGTCTGCAGTTTGTACCCTGTTGGATCCACCTGTTCAGATTGAGAAGACCCGGACCGAGGCCGACGACTACTGCGTTCGCCTGGCTCTGGCCGAGCAGGAGGCCCGGTCAGTGCGAGGGGAGCTGGAACAAGAGATCCAGGAGGTGCGCAGGGAGCTGCAGGGCCGGCTGACGGAGCTGGAACCTCTGCCTGAGGCGTTACGGCACTCTGAGCTGCAGCTGAAGGAGGCCCGGGACCGCCAGCGCATCCAGGAGAGGCGGAACCAGGAGCTCAGCAACACCCGGACGGACCTGAGGACGAAGGTTCTGAACAGCAGCTGCTTCACACCCAGACACGAATCACCTCATGTTAGGTTCAGCCCAACGAAACACCTGAACAAGAAATAAACCTGCTTCAACACATCAACCACGGCCAGAACATTTTAGCTGAAACGAGCTAAAAATAAAAAGAAGCTGAACAACAGCTGAAACCAGAAGTAACAGTCTGTAAACAGCTGAAATGAGCAGTAACAGTCTGTATACAGCTGAAGCAGAACAACAGCTGAAAAAAGAAGTAACAGTCTGTAAACAGCTGAAAGAGAACATAAGCTGAAATGAGAAGTAACACTCTGTAAACAGCTGAAACAAGCAATAACAGTCTGTAAACAGCTGAGACAGCAACAGTTGAAACAAGCAGTAACAGTCTGTAAACAGTTGAAACAGAACAACAGCTGAAACAAGCAGTAACAGCCTGTAAACAGCTGAAGCTGAACAACATTTGAAGCGAGCAGTAACAGTCTGCAAACATCTGAAGCTGAACAACAATTTTTTTAAATGAGCAGTAACAGTCTGCAAACAGCTGAAACAGAACAACAGCTGAAACTAGCAGTAACAGTCTGTAAACAGCTGAAAAAGAACATAAGCTGAAATGAGAAGTAACGGTCTGTAATCAGCTGAAGCAAAACAACAGCTGAAATGAAAAGTAAGTCTGTAAACAGCTGAAGCAAAACAACAGCTGAAACGAGTAGTAACACTGTATACAGCTGAAGCTGAATAACAGCTGAAACAAGCAGTAACAGTCTGTAAACAGCTGAAGCAGAGCAACAGCTGAAACGAGCAGTAATGGTCTGTGAACAGCTGAAACAAGGAGTAACAGTCTGTATACAGCTGAAGCTGAACAACAAGCAGTAACAGTCTGTAAACAGCTGAAGCTGAACAAAAGCTGAAAGGAGCAGTAACAGGTTGTAAACAGCTGAAACAAAACAAATGTGAGGAACGAGTTACGAGCTGAGAAACAGATCATTGATGAGAAACCAGAACCATTCAGTGTTCAACTATCTGACAAAAAATGTTTTCATTTTTAATTTTTCATGAGTCCTTTTCTTAAACCAGCTAAGGCTTAATATTCTTCTGACAGTCATTTTTAAAGTTCATTTGATTTTTACAGGTCTTCAGATCCAGGTCTTAAGAAACCATCCATCTTTTCTCTTTTGCTTGTTCCAAAGTCGGGCCATGGGGCAGCAGCTTGAGCAGGGAGCCCCGATATCTCTTTCCACAGCCTCCTCTTCCTGCTCTTCTGGCAGGATTCCAAGGTGTTCCCAGGCCAACTGAGAGACATAGTCTCTCCAGCGTGTCCTGGGTTTCTCCCAGGGTCTCTACTCCCAGTCGGACATGCCCGTAGCACCTCCTTAGGGAAACGACCAGGGAACATCCTTACCAGATGCCCGATCCACCTCACCTGGCTCCTCTCAATGTGGAGGAGCAGCGGTTCTACTTTGAGTCTCTCCGGGATAATTAAAGCCCCTTATCCACAGGTCCTACTTGGGCCTGCTTTAACTTGCTCAGGCCGGTTCCGTGATTTTTTAAATTTCTCACCCTATCTCTAAGGGAGAGTCCAGCTACCCTGCAGTGGAAACTCATTTCAACTGCTTGTATCAGCAATCTCATTCTTTCAGTCACTACCCAGAGCTCATGACCATAGGTAAACGATAAATGGACTGTACTTATATAGTGCCTTTTTATCTTATCAAGATACTCAAAGCACTTTACACTATAATCTGTACCCTTGTTTACCTATTCATACAGCACTATACTATATCTTTACAGAGATTAATCAGTGCTTTAGATCACATTCTCCACCATAACCCTCAGCACTGGCTCCCCTCAGGGATGTGTGTTGAGCCTCCTCCTGTTTACTCTGCTCACGTATGATTGTGCAGCTACCCATCCAGGCTGTCACATTGTAAAGTTTGCAGATGATACAGCGGTGGTGGGATGCATCACAAACAATGATGAGTCCAGCTACAGGCAAGAGGTGGAACACCTGGAGAGCTGGTGCAGAGAGAATAACCTTCACATCAATGTGAAAAAGACAAAGGAGATGATTGTGGACTTCAGAAGGAACAAAAACATCTACACCCCCCTGAACATAAGAGGATCTGCGGTGGAAGTGGTCTCCAGCTACAAGTACTTGGGTGTGCACCTGAACAACAACCTCAGCTGGAGCAACAACACCACCAGCCTGATCAAGAAAGCTCATCAGAGACTCTACTTCCTCAGACGGCTGAGGCGAGCTGGTCTGGGAAGCTCAGTCCTCACCTCCTTCTACAGGTGTGCAGTGGAGAGCATCCTGTGCTCCAGCATCAACGTGTGGCATGGAGGCTGCACAGCTGCAGAAAGAAAAGCTTTGCAGAGAGTGGTGAAGGCTGCACAGAAGATGTTGGAGTCAGTCTCCCCACCATCACAGACATCTACACCTCCAGATGCAGGAAGAAGGCCACCTGCATCATGAAGGACCCCACTCACCCAGCACACACACTTTTTGCCCCACTCCCCTCAGGAAGGAGGTTGAGGAGCATTAAGTGTAGAACCACTAGACTGAGGAACAGCTTCTACCCTGAGGCTGTTAGACTCATGAATCTCTAACTAGAATAATCACTGTGAAAAACCACATCATGCTGCTGATGATCTGTTTCATGTTGCTGCTGATCTGTTTCATGTTGCTGCTAATCTGTTTCATGTTGCTGCTAATCTGTTTCATGTTGATGTGTTCATGCGTGCACATCTGCTCACAGACTCATGTTCATGTTTGTGCTGATGTTCAATGTTTTATGTTATGAGTGTAGATGAACAGATGCTCGGATATATTCATCATTTAACGTGGATTCCTCATTTTTCTGGACTGAATAAAACGTGCATTGAATTTAAGGAAATGCAAACGTGAGACGTCATTTATGTTTGACCCATCAAAATGAATGCGGTCATTTATTTACAGAATCAAAATTTAACATCAAACATTTACATTAATTTGGCAAATTATGAAAATAACAACATAAGCAATCAATCAGGAAAAATCATACGGCCATGATTTTTCCGTTGCTTCACCACAGACATTTATGAAAACTGTACAACTATGATCTTTTACCCACATGAATGTGGGTGAGCATTTTACACAGACATTTCTAAAATATCTGGAAGAATTTCTACTTGATAGAAAAGTTTAAAGATGGAAAGAAGTTTAGAGGGAGTAAGATGGTGTGTGAGGGGAGAAATGTTCACCAGAATCGACACTCTCCGGCTTTCTTCAGCTTTTCCTTACAGTACACTTAGGTGATGAAATCGGCTCCTTTACCTGGAGATGTCTCAGGTGAGATTCCGTTTAACGCACCCTTTCAGCGTCTCAGTAGGTTGGCTGTTACTCGTCCGAAGTAATGGCTAGTGAAAGTGTTATAATCCCATGGAACTCGGAAGAGCTTGTTGTCATGTCAGGATCATCCCGTCTCTCACAGAACTGAACTCTCAGAACAGAACTGTGCAGAAACAGCATCCGAGCAGAGACATGAACAGAACTGGTTGGACTGTGTATCCAGCAGAACTCCAACAGCACTCCATCAGAACTTTACCAGAACTCGAAAACTGAGTAGACCAGGAAGTACTGACATTTTAAAGAGCTGTTTCCCGGTTCACTTTTGGGAGTATTACCATTGGTCAGAACCGACCAGACGGGGTGTGTTTTGTGACGTAAGAGGTTAGAAGACAGCCAGAATTGTTATGGAAAGACCAGAAATGTTCTCACAGACAGAGAGAGTTTTGTTTTGGCGCATTTCAGAAACAGGTGCCAAAACTTCTATATTTACGTCTGAGAGGATTCTAAAAACATGACTGTTCTAACATAACAACTTGTTTTGCGTTTGACTCCAACCTTGGACCAACTTACACTTGCTCATTCAAAAGCAGAAATCAGAAAAGGCATAATTACTCTGTAACAGCTTTGACATGAGTTCTAACTTTGCGTGAGAAAAAAAAATCATTACACAGTTAATAAAATTGATTAGTTCACTGCAACATCTAAAATGGTTTGAACTAAGACACTTTGATTATCAACATTTGTAAAATAGTAATGATAATAAAACAGAGAGTGTTCTTTTCACTTGAATCTTCAAGAGAGAAAGTCTCAGGATGGGTGAACCTGTATTTCTGGATTCAAATCAATGAAATGACAGTTCCTGTCCCACAAGGTTCTTAAGGTCAAGATTTTTGACCTTAGACTTAGTTTTTGACATGGGCCTAGTCCACTACATGAGTGCTTAGTGTATATTTAGTTGATGTTTTTCTTAGTTCATATCTTAGATGTTATTACTGTTTTTCTTATACATTTTATTGTTGGATGTAACTGGGACCTTGTGTACATAATTTCGCTCCACCACATGTACCACATGAGGTGCAAATGACAATAAAGAAACTCTGACTCTGACTGACTCTGACATTAATACACCAATGGAACACACAACAGAGGCAATGAAGGGTTCAGTGTCTTGCCCAGGGACACTTCAGCATGTGACTGCTGGTGGAATAGAACCATCAACTCTCCCATTGGAGGATGACTGCTATAACCATTCAGCCACAGCTGCCCCATAGGTGAGGGTAGGAACATAGATCAGTAAATGGAGAACTTTGCCTTACGGTGTCAGGATTTGCCATCAGGAGTGTTGAACCCAAGTGCAGGAAGATGACAAGGAGGCTCTAGGTAAAAAGATCAAAATATTTATTCTCAAAAAACAAAATCAAAAGGCTGACAGGGCAGCCACTTACTGGTACTGAGAACAGATCAGAGCAGGCTTGACGGGAGGCAAACCAAGACACCACTGAAGGACAATCCGGAGACAAAGACAAGACACAGAGGAACTGAATATATACACAGGCACTGATTGAGACAATGACAGACGCCTGCAGTGATTAACATGACACAGGTGAGACAGGGGTTGAACACAAGGAGGAAAAACAGAGCTGAACTGGAAACGTGAGGAAACAGACAAAGACAGGAC